CCACCCCCCGTGAATGCACGTGCCTATAGCTCGCTTTCTCTCTCTTTCTGGTGAGCACACACGCCCTCTAGCCAAAACTAAAAGAAAATACGTTATCAAGTGCCTAGTTTGTGAAGGCACCGTTCTAGGTGCTAGGACAAAGCAGTGAGCAAAAGCAGATGCAAGCCTCTACTCTCATGGAGCTTACAGTCGAGGCCACACAGATGTCAACAAAATTAACTGACCAGATAGGTGCTAGGTGATGATAAGGGCGGCAGAGGAAATCGGAGCACAGAGTGCCAGGGCAGGAGGTGATGCTACAAATGAACCGTTTGGATGGAGCCAACACACCAGAAAAGGATTTAGAGAGAGAAAAAAAGAACCCTCTGGGAAAGAAGAAAAGCCTACCCAAGCCTTCAGTTTATCACCTACGGCCCTGCTTAGAGCCTAGCCTGCATCTTCATATGTAACTGCAACCTCAGGGCAATGCCTTTGCATTTTGCTTTCTTGTTGGCTAGGGCAAATATTTCCCTATGCTTTTTCACAGTCCTTATGATTATAATATTAATGATGCATAATATTTGTTTAAATCGAGTTATGCTGCTTTGCCAAACCCAGCCCCTACTGTTAGTTGTTTCTCACTTATTCCCAGCAACAGATTAGCCTGAAGTATCTACTGGTCAATAGCTTTTTGCTTTGGTGGTTTTATTTCCTTAGGGTAAACTCCCAGAGGGCAGAGAATGAGGTCACAGGGATGACTGTCTCTGCAGCCCTTGCTACAGAATAATGCACTGTCGTTTTCCTAAGGGGACAATCCATTTCGAGGTCTAAGACCCAGTCTGTTAAAAACGCAGTTCCTAACACATCTAGTTTATAACTCCTGATAGTGCCCGCTCAGTTCACCTCCGGAGCCTTCGCATGAAGTTAAACACCAGCAGCTACAAAGTGCCAGATTAGGGACCAGCAGACAGTGTAATGGTTACAACGCTGGACTCCGACTAGTCGACCATGGTTTGAGTCCCGGACCCAGTGGCTTAAAACTCATGCCAAGCGTGTGCGTGTGTGCCCAAAATCCTGAGAGGAAAATGGAGGAGAAGGGATTACAGCGTGGCCATCCCCCCAGGGGGTGATTTCTCACTTCCTGTCTCTGGTGAGCTCAAGCACCCTATACCAAAAATATCTCTCTAAAAAAAAAAAGAGACTATCCGGGGTGGGAGGATTAAGGGTGATGAGGGTCTCCCAAGCTGCCAGCTCCCATCTGTGCCCAATGCACAAGATGCACTCACGTGAGCTCCGGGTAGACGTTCTCCAGGTACCAGCGGAAAGACTTGCAGTTCATCTTCTTCCTCTGCTCGATCCTCGTAGCCACGCTGAAGGAGGAGACAAGGCTCGGGCTCTGGCCTCAGGAGGAAGTCCCAGGGAGTACGGCTTAAGTCCCTTCCCTGGCTCCAGGAGGTTGGCTTCCTCTTTCTGCCTACTGTGGGTGGGCAAGGACCAGGAGCCATCCAGGCTGGCCCCGTCCAGCCTTGGCCACTTGCCTCATGTCATTCTCTGACCTGAAAGCTCTCTCGGATCTCTGGGTCACCCCTACTCCTTACATTCCTGCTCCCCTTTTAGCGTGGGCTCAGCTGTCAAAGATCGTGCTTTTCTCTCGCTCCCCACTCTTTGAGACCTCAGTCAGAGTCCACAAACTTGTCTTCATTTTTGCAGAGAGCAGAGCCTAATTGATTAGGAACTTTCTTTTCCTGCATCCCAGCTTAGGAGAAAGGGTCTAACAAGAAGGACAAGCTTGAAACATCATCCAGGAATTTGGGCACATAAAGCCACCTGATGGGACACCACAATCAATCTCTTTCATCTTCTTCAGGTACAGCAACCATAATGGCCACTGCCTGGTGACTCATCACCAACCTAACTGAGCCTCAGTTCTACAGGGAACTGGGGACACCACTACTCACCTCAGAAGGTTTTGCAGGAACCAGATGAACTAAGGAGACAGGAAGTGCTTAGCACAGGCTAGATCCTCAGTACAAGTTAGTTCCCCACTAAAAGAAGTGTGTGGTGACATGACTCTTTTTTAAATGGATAGATATCAATATTAGGTGGTCAGGAAAGTCATGACTTTTTTTTCTGTTTTTCTATGCAAAAATGTGTCATGCCCTTCCTAATGACCCAGTAAGTGGAAGAAAAGTCATTGGCAATCATTAATAAAGTTTTCAAATTTCTGTGACCACAACCTTAAGGAGGAGATAAATATATTTACCTCCTGATAATAACACTGGGATCTAGTATAACCCATGTACATACGTAAGTGCATGTGTGTGTGTGTGTGCACACATATACACACACACGTGCACAGCTAAATGAGTGTTCCATAAAACCATACTAACCCTTGACTGCGGTCGACTCTTATTTTCTATTCTATTCTGAACTTATTTAATCTGTAGTGTTCTATTTCCCTCTCTCTTTTTTTATAATGCTGGCCATGACCCACTAAATTGATTTCACAACCATCTGCACTTTGAAAATGCTTAACTAGACCACAGTCATAACAGTCCATGACAGGAAAATAGGCTAACAGATCTCAGTTGGAAAGAGGGAGAGGAGGCAAAACCCCGTTTATCCGGCAGACAGCCCCTCCCTAAGCACTCTTACAAACACGCCTTTTCCTGGAGGCGGCTTGGGGACAGGCCATTCCTTTTCATAAGCAAGATTTCTCTCTACCCTCCACGCGCTCTGCATAGACAAGGTCTCGTCTCTGTGCTGCATTACTGCCCAGGGA